CCCTTGGAGATGAGAACCTCGAAGGACAACCATCTCTGCAGCACTCCACCAATCAGGCCTTTACGGTAGAGTGGCCAGACGGAAGCCACTCCTCAGTAAAAAGGCACATGACAGCCCGCTTGGAGTTTGCCAAAAGGCACCTAAAGGACTCTCAGACAATGAGAAACAAGATTCTCTGGTCTGATGAAACCAAGATTGAACTATTTGGCCTGAATGCCAAGCGTCTGAAGGAAACCTGGCACCATCCCTACGGTGAAGCATGGTGGTGGCAGCATCATGTTGTGGGGATGTTTTTCAGCGGCAGGGACTGGGAGACGAGTCATCATCGAGGGAAAGATGAACGGAGCAAAGTACAGAGAGATCCTTGATGAAAACCTGTGTCGTGTATTGAGATTATGACGTTGTTAAATGTTTTTAAGTGGAACTGAAAGAATGTTGATTTTAGTATCAAGAGGGAATGTTTTAGTGTAACGTCACATACAACAGACAGGAAGTGTGTTGTAGACAGGGGAGACTGGTGATTGGCCAGAAGAGGGAGCCCATCTTTTTGCATTGTTTATAAGTAGGGGCTAAACGAGAGAGAGACAGAACGGCCATTGCAATCTGGGACGCCGTTCTCCAGACACCGCGGGTCTGTAACTTATGCTGTAACCTTGTGATATTAATAAAAGCCTCTAATCATTGTGCAGCATAAGCGGACTCTTTGTTGATAGCAATAATTGCCACCATTCACCCGATACGACACCTGCTCCAGAGTGCTCAGGACCTCAGACTGAGGTGAAGGTTCACCTTCCAACATAACAACGACCCTAAGCACACATCCAAGACAACGCAGGAATTGGGACAAGTCGCTGAATGTCCTTGGGTGGCCCAACCAGAGCCCGGACTTGAACCTAATCGAATATCTCTGGAGAGACCTGAAAATAGCTGTGCAACGACGCTCCCCATCCAACCTGACAGAGCTTGAGAGGATCTGCAGAGAAGAATGGGAGAAACTCCCCAAATACAGGTGTGCCATGCTTGTGGCGTCGTACCCAAGAAGACTCAAGGCTGTAATCGCTGCCAAAGGTGCTTCATCAAAGTACTGAGTAAAGGGTCTGAATAATTATGTAAATGTGATCCGTTTCTTATTTTTAATACATTTGCAAAAAAATTCCAAAAAACATGTTTTTGCTTCGTCATTATGGGGTTGTGTGTGTAGATTGATGAGGGGGAAATAACTATTTAATCCATTTTAGAATAAGGCTGTAACGTAACAAAATATGGATAAAGTCAAGGGGTCTGAATACTTTCCCGAATGCACTGTATGTTAAATCACTCACACGCTAACTGTGTTTTTATGAAAACACACACGCATGTGCGTATAGACGTGCACCCACACACTAAGTGGTAGTGGACTAGGCTGGGGTCAGCTGCAGGGTTGGGCTGTGGGGTTCCTCTTCCTCCCCCACTGACCCAGTTCTGTCCCCTACCTGCTGTGGTCTGTAGTGTGGACCAGCCATAGTCCTGCTAACCCCTCTCACACACAACTCACGCAATATGACTCAGGACAGGGGCAGGCAGGACACCTGTTGTGTGTATGTATGGAGACGGAGACACACGCATCCTGCTAACCCGTCTCTTAGCCCTCTGCCACACAACATGGCTCAGCACTAGGGCCTAGCACAGAGAGGGATAGGACTGACTAAAATAGTGGACAAGTCATTGTTCCCATCATAGCCGTTTCTATTTGATTCATTGTATGCCGTTTCCCATTAGGTTGACGGAGCTCTCTTCTCAACTAATTTGTAGTCCTGGTTAGGAGTCTAACTAGGAAAGCATTTAAAAAAAAAAAAAAAAAGAGTCACTCACCTGTCTGTCAATCCTCAGGTTAACTATCGAATAACAGTCCGGTGGCAAAAACTATCTGAAGACTGTCCTGACTCACTTGGCACGTAACACTGTCTCCCTGGAATGGTCTGCTCAACTCCTAACCAAGTCAACAACAAAAAAAATACTGATACTATAACAGCAGTTTTAAATGGCGTAAAGGTTGTAACTAGTTCATGCTGTCCTGACTGACTGTGCGTACATTCCACACTAGGATACAGTAAGCAATGTTATGTTGCTTCCTGCTTCAACTAACCTCCCCAGACACGCCCCACCTCACCCGCCCCCCAATCCTCAAGGGTGCGTCCCAATAATCTCTCCTCCCTCCTAAATTCTGCACTCGTTTCCACATTTAATAGCATTGGAATGGCTAGAGGGAGTTTCCATATACCACTCATGTCTATTAAAATCCAGAGGGAAAGTGAGCAAGTGAACAACATTTTTGGGATGCACCCTTAGTGTGTCTTCTAGCCATTGATTAGCCATCGTCCAGTAGTAGGTGTCAGCCCTTCATTTTCACCCTATCAGCTAAACCTATTGGAGTGGAACCCCCGTGGACCAGTCCCTAGCGAGAGGAAAGGGGGAGGGGGGATAATTGGGACGCTTATGCAGCAGAGACATTAGGGGAAGGATACTGAGAAAATGAGGGAGGGCGTGAAGGAGGGAGAGAGAAAGAGAGAGAAAGAGAGGGGAAGAAGGAGGGAGAGAGAGTAACGGACCAGGGTACTGAGAAAATGAGGGAGGGTGTGAAGGAGGGGTGAGAGAAAGAGAGAGAAAGAGAGGGGAAGAAGGAGGGAGCGAGGGAGAGAGAGAAAGAAGGAGGGAGCGAGATTAACAGACCAGGGTACTGAGAAAATGAGGGAGGGCGTGAAAGAGGGGAGAGAGAAAGAGAGAGAAAGAGAGGGGAAGAAGGAGGGAGCGAGGGAGAGAGAGTAACGGACCAGGGTACTGAGAAAATGAGGGAGGGTGTGAAAGAGGGGAGAGAGAAAGAGAAAGAGAGGGGAAGAAGGAGGGAGCGAGGGAGAGAGTAACGGACCAGGGTACAGAGAAAATGAGGGAGGGCGTGAAAGAGGGGAGAGAGAAAGAGAGAGAAAGAGAGGGGAAGAAGGAGGGAGCGAGGGAGAGAGAGTAACGGACCAGGGTACTGAGAAAATGAGGGAGGGCGTGAAGGAGGGGAGAGAGAAAGAGAGGGGAAGAAGGAGGGAGCGAGAGTAACGGACCAGGGTACTGAGAAAATGAGGGAGGGCGTGAAGGAGGGAGAGGGAAAGAGAGAGAAAGAGAGGGGAAGAAGGAGGGAGCGAGGGAGAGAGAGTAACAGACCAGGGTACTGAGAAAGACGAAGAGATGCCTATCGGCCCTGGTCAAAAGTAGTGCACTATATAGGGAATAGGGTGCCATTTGGGGTCAAAAGTAGTGCACTATATAGGGAATAGGGTGCCATTTGGGACACAGCCAATCCCATTCTCCAGCCAGGCCTGTTTAGAGTTCCTTTATCAGTTTATCTGCACTAATGCTGTGACGATGACACCTCCTTTCATCACACATTTAAAGTGTCTCTATTATTAGCTGAGGAAATAACATTAAGGAGCCTACACTGGCCTGGTTCAACTCATTTCAACCCTGTACTTTGGGGCAAGCCCTAGACAGACACTAAGGAAGGAAGGAGAGGTAAAGACAGCTGGAGATTGAGAGAATAGCCTACATGTTGATTGACAGCTCGTTATTGTTGGTCTCCAATGTCCCTCCAGGGCCACCTTAGGGGAGAGCTGCCATTCCATTTTCTCCAGAGGGATTCCCAACGTTCAAATCTGTCAATCACTGCAACGTTTTTCTTCCTGATAAGTTGGATTAGGAGTAACTGAATAGCATTCTCCATTTTCCCCTCAGCGGGTCTTCCCATTTATTGAGATTTGGAGCTCTATCTCAATATCTTGGAAGTATGTCCTCCACTCCCATTTATCTGCAATGATTGGAAAATACTTGACAGGAGAAAACAACATGGCTAGGGCTGGATTTCACCTGGGCAGTTCTTTCAAATCAGTGTCATGAAGGAGGACAATTGAGAGAGCCGTAGAATCATTCAGGAGAAATACACAAGCTAACAGGTTTTGAGAGGACAGAGCACCACGTCATTTTACACGACTAGCTCCTTACAGAAATGTATTCAGCATACAATCACGTAACATGATAATAAATATCACAGACTTATAAAAGAGATGTTAAACGTAATCAATAATGAAAACATATGAATATCAATACTTTTTGTAGCATAACTAAATGCCTAAATACACAATCAATATAATACCCTCCCACCTCTCCTCCCCCTGAATGTCAACGGACCAGGGTACAGGTCTAATTATCGGGTTGTGTGCATGAGCGGGTTTGACAAATGGAAATGGATCTGGCTATTGGAAAACTACTGCAGTGTACAGTATAGGTTGAGAGCTAATTAGTCCTGGCATATCAATATTGCTGGGGTGTGAAAAAGAGAGTGAGGGGGAAGACTTATTTTGAATATATTTGTCTTGAACACATACAGTGAGGGAAAAAAGTATTTGATCCCCTGCTGATTTTGTACGTTTGCCCACTGACAAAGAAATGATCAGTCTATAATTTTAATGGTAGGTTTATTTGAACAGTGAGAGACAGAATAACAACAAAAAAATCCAGAAAAACGCATGTAAAAAATGTTATAAATTGATTTGCATTTTAATGAGGGAAATAAGTATTTGACCCCCTCTCAATCAGAAAGATTTCTGGCTCCCAGGTGTATTTTATACAGGTAAAGAGCTGAGATTAGGAGCACACTCTTAAAGGGAGTGCTCCTAATCTCAGTTTGTTACCTGTATAAAAGACACCTGTCCACAGAAGCAATCAATCAATCAGATTCCAAACTCTCTACCATGGCCAAGACCAAAGAGCTCTCCAAGGATGTCAGGGACAAGATTGTAGACCTACACTAAGCTGGAATGGGCTACAAGACCATCGCCAAGCAGCTTGATGAGAAGGTGACAACAGTTGGTGCGATAATTCGCAAATGGAAGAAACACAAAATAACTGTCAATCTCCCTCGGCCTGGGGCTCCATGCAAGATCTCACCTCGTGGAGTTGCAATGATCATGAGAACGGTGAGGAATCAGCCCAGAACTACACGGAAGGATCTTGTCAATGATCTCTAAGAAAACAATTGGTAACACACTACGCCGTGAAGGACTGAAATCCTGCAGCGCCCGCAAGGTCCCCCTGCTCAAGAAAGCACATATACAGGCCCGTCTGAAGTTTGCCAATGAACATCTGAATGATTCAGAGGAGAACTGGGTGAAAGTGTTGTGGTCAGATGAGACCAAAATCGAGCTCTTTGGCATCAACTCAACTCGCCGTGTTTGGAGGAGGAGGAATGCTGCCTATGACCCCAAGAACACCATCCCCACCGTCAAACATGGAGGTGGAAACATTATGCTTTGGGGGTGTTTTTCTGCTAAGGGGACAAGACAACTTCACCGCATCAAAGGAACGATGCACGGGGCCATGTACCGTCAAATCTTGGGCGAGAACCTCCTTCCCTCAGCCAGGGCATTGAAAATGGGTCGTGGATGGGTATTCCATTATGACAATGACCCAAAACACACGGCCAAGGCAACAAAGGAGACACTCAAGAAGAAGCACATTAAGGTCCTGGAGTGGCCTAGCCAGTCTCCAGACCTTAATCCCATAGAAAATCTGTGGAGGGAGCTGAAGGTTCGGGTTGCCAAACGTCAGCCTTGAAACCTTAATGACGAAGAAGATCTGCAAAGAGGAGTGGAACAAAATCCCTCCTGAGATGTGTGCAAACCTGGTGGCCAACTACAAGAAACATCTGACCTCTGTGATTGCCAACAAGGGTTTTGCCACCAAGTACTAAGTCATGTTTTGCAGAGGGGTCAAATACTTATTTCCCTCATTAAAATGCAAATCAATTTATAACATTTTTGACATGCGTTTTTCTGGATTTTGTTGTTGTTATTCTGTCTCTCACTGTTCAAATAAACCTACCATTAAAATTATAGACTGATCATGTCTTTGTCAGTGGGCAAACGTACAAAATCAGCAGGGGATCAAATACTTTTTTCCCCTCACTGTACATATATATTTTTTAATCTGCATGATCTCACTTAGAATGGAATGCACTTGAGAAGTGGATGCCTTCCACAGACCTCTCACAGGTAACGACAGTCTGGAATACCCATTTCCACATTCCTAAGTTCCTCAGTTCCTCTTTCCACATCCCAAGGACATACTGACTTGGTAGAAGTTAAAATTCCGAAATAAAGGATCGAGTCCCAAATGGCACCCTATTCAGTGCAGTAGGGCTCTGGTCAAAAGTAGTGCACTTATATAGGGAATAGGGTGAATTTTGGGAGGCATCCCTTTTCCTCTTAAAATAGTGAAAAGAAGAGACGCTGGCAAATACAGACGTGGGTTATTCCTGCCACGTCTGGAGTAGAGTGAAGCTGCCCGTAGACACTGATCCAGGGTCAGTTTAGCATTTACCCCACTAATGGTTAAGGTTCATATGGGTCAGTTTAGCATTTACCCCACTAATGGTTAAGGTTAATATGGATCAGTTTAGCATTTACCCCACTAATGGTTAAGGTTCATATGGGTCAGTTTAGCATTTACCCCACTAATGGTTAAGGTTCATATGGGTCAGTTTAGCATTTACCCCACTAATGGTTAAGGTTCATATGGGTCAGTTTAGCATTTACCCCACTAATGGTTAAGGTTCATATGGGTCAGTTTAGCATTTACCCCACTAATGGTTAAGGTTCATATGGGTCAGTTTAGCATTTACCCCACTAATGGTTAAGGTTCATATTGGGAAACTGATCCTAGATATGTACCTTGGGGAAACTTCACCCCGGAGCCACATGTTTGAAGAGTTTGAAGAAGACATTCATTTATTTCCAATTCAGTTGTGGTTCAGAGACCGTTCAATCATTACAAAAGAAACAAGTCATGTAGTGAGCTTTGCAGTCCCTCAGAATATTTGACTCGTTTAAAAAAAAAAAAAAAAAAAGTTGTTTTTTCAAAAGCAAAACAACAAAATGATGAGACTCCAGATTCCACAGGTTTGAAAATAACTGATACATGCCAGATTGTGTGAATTAAAACTAATTCCTGTTTCAGTGGTACAGGTCATTGCAAAATTTTGTGTTTTTAAATGTAATATAACTGGGATGGTATGAGAACAGCATAGAAAAATAGAAATAAATATTCTATTATCTCTCTCTTGTAACATAAAATAGTGTCTTAAACCCTTTGCTTGATACATATAAACCGACTATCAAACTAGTCTAGCGTGTGTGAGCACAGAAGATTCTGGAAGAACCGTGTTGTTGTACATTTGCGTTTCAGACCTTTGGAAATAAAGCCAATCGCGTTATGAAAATAAATGGCAGGTGCTACAGTATGGTCTAATTCTTCCTTTGGGAAACTTTTACCCCAACAGTGATTGTGAGGTAACACAAGATTAAGATTTGCAATATTTTAAAACAGGACTTTCCACTTACTGAAGACAGTATACTGTACAAGCATTCAAATAAACTCATCCAACTTCTTCGAAAATCCGACTTCAAGTGAATTAAACATTGTCAAATGCCTGAAAAACATTTTTGGTTGAGAGGTATCTTTTAAAACAAGTGCAGTCATTCTAAAACATGTACAATTGTTTGATAGCTCCTACTACAATATCCCATTCAACCTTAAATTATTGTATTCTTATGATAAAAACATCTTAAAATGACAAAAATCGAATTTCCTTGTAATCTGAATCCACAGATTAAATCCACAGTGCTCACATTAGGAAGACTAATTTTGCTAGATCAGCAAATGGCTTAGATTATAAAATGATTGTGCCGGTTTGGGCATGACCCCAAGGACTTATTCATTAGGCACCGAACGGAAGAAAACAGACAAACAGGGAGAGGGGTTCCCTGGACTTGTCCCATAAGAAATGCTTATTATCACTTCCCGTTGCAAAGCGTTTTGAAACGTTTTCCATTGCGTGCCTCGTTAAAACAGGGCCCTGGCCTCAGAACTTGTTTGCGGTGGCTTCCGCGGAGAAGCGGTGGGCGTAGCACTCATAGATGGTATCCAGGAAGGAACTGTCGTTCTGAAAGAGAGAGAAGAGCGAGACAGAGTTAGAGAGAGGAGGAAAGAGAGAGCGTTAGAGAGAGAGGAGAGGAGAGAGAGAGCGAGATGGAGAGGGGGAGATAAGAGAGGGATAGAGTACTTTGATCAGGAGCGGGGAACAGAAACAACACATTAGCATTTGGACAGGTTGAGTGCGTCTGTCTGCACTCTGCGCTGGTCTGAAACAGCTCTCTTTAGCAGGACAGTGTCCTTTGGCAAGACTGTCTGACTGTACAAAGACTTCCAAACATAAACAGACTGACGGTGTACTGAGTAGAAAGACAGTTTATATAAACAAAGGCAGGAACCCAGGACAACCCATTTGGCTGTGTGAGACGAGCTGCTTCTTCAGGAGGGAAGAGTTTGACGCCTGCAGAATTGCTAGTATTATGTAAATACATTGAACAAAAAATATAAAAAGCAACATGTTGGTCCCATGTTTCATGAGCTGAAATAAAAGATCCCAGAAATATTCCATACGTACAAAAAGCTAATTTCTCTCAAATTTTGTGCACAAATTTGTTTACATCCCTGTTAGTGAGCATTTCTCCTTTGCCAAGATAATCCATCCAACTGACAAGTGTGGCATATCAGGAAGCTGATTAAACAGCATGATCATTACACAGGTGCACCTTGTGCTAGGGGCAATAAAAGGCCACTAAAATGTGCAGTTGTCACACAACACAATGCCACAGATGTCTCAAGTTGAGGGAGCGCGCAATTGGCATGCTGACTGCAGGATGTCCACCAGAGCTGTTGCCAGAGAACTGAATGTTTATTTCTCTACCATAAGCTGCCTCCAAAGTCGTTTTAGAGAATTTGGCAGAAACCGGCCTCACATCCGCAGACCATGTGTAACCATGCCAGCCCAGGATCTCCACATCCGGCTTCTTCACCTGCAGGATCGTCTGAGACCAGCCACCCGGACAGCTGATGAAACTGTAGGTTTACACAACCGAACTGTCAGGGAAGCTCATCTGCATGCTCGTCGTCCTCATCAGGGTCTTGACCTGACTGCAGTCATGTGAGCGAGCGGTTTGCTGATGTCAACGTTGTGAACAGAGTGCCCCATGGTGGCGGTGGGGTTATGGTATGGGCAGGCATAAGCTACAGACAACGAACACAATTGCATTTTCTCGATGGCAATTGAATGCACAGAGATACCGTGACGAGATCCTGAGGCCCATTGTTGTGCCATTCATCCGCCACCATCACCTCATGTTTCAGCATGATAATGCACAGCCCCATGTCGCAATGAACTGTACACAACTCCTGGAATCTGACAATGTCCCAGTTGTTTCATGGCCTGCATACTCACCAGACATATCACTCATTGAGCGTGTTTGGGATGCTCTGGATCGACAGCGTGTTGCTGTTCCCTCCAATATCCAGCAACTTCGTACAGCCATTGAAGGGTGGGACAACATTCCACAGGCCGCAATCAACAGCCTGATCAACTCTACGCGAAGGAAATGTATCGCGCTGCATGAGGCAAATGCTGGTCACACCAGATACTGACTGGTTTTCTGATCCATGCCCCTACCTTTTTAAAAAAAGGTATCTGTGACCAACAGATGCATATCTGTATTCCCAGTCATGTGAAATCCATAGATTAGGGCCCAATTAATTAATTTAAAATGGACTGATTTCCTTATAATCAGTGGTCACCAACCTTTCGCAGTCAGAAAGCAAGCCAGAGATCTACTGCTAAGAATACTTTAAAAACATGACTTCATTTTTTAAAACATTAACCTCATAAAAACCGTTCTGTAGGAATGAGGTTTGTGTAGTAATACATTATCACAGCATGTTGGCTATATGTCGGGCCTAACAATAGTGTATTATATTTCAAAACTCCAGCTTTGATAACTAAATAGATCAGTTGGTGTAGTACTTGCGAGGCACAGCTGAGCATAAATCGAAATAATTTCGTTTTTTTTATTTTACTGACTGATGGTACCTGCATCTGATGGTCATGGTGCTTTCAAAGAAAACTGGGAACTCTGGAGAAATCGTGACGTCATGATGTCAGTGATCTTCAGGTCAGAAAGTCGGAGCTCTAGAAAGATGCCAGAGTTTCCGACTTGGATGACCGTTCCAAAATAAAATCCAAGTCGGATCTAGCTTTTTTCCGAGATCCTAATTGTCTTGAACGCACTGAAGTCGGAGATTTCAGAGTTCCCAGTAGTGTTGAACATGGCATTAGTCTCAGCGGCGTGAGCAACTCGAGTCGCACCGCGTCTGCCTCATGCACAAATTCATATTGTTCCTACGACCAGAGAAATATCCTCGATATTAAAATAGACAAGATGAGCTGCTAATAATAATAATTAAAATGCAGGGCTGTCGATACACATAGCTACTCATTCATTGCAGCTGCAGGGCAAATGTTGACAGTGCTGAATAAACGTGGACATGAACTCACTCGTATAAAACAGCAGCTCTTTGCAAGTCTCTCTCTGAAGATGGGTTTTTTAAATTATGAAATCTCATGTAGGCTAGTATGAAACGTTGCTGTGGCTGGGGTCGTGGAAGCTGTAGGAACGGCGATTTGAGATATCAGATTGGCCAGCGCAGCAGGCAAACTTTATTTAGCCACAGACCTCCCAGTCCGCTGGGCAGGGGGAGTTTGTCTTTTCAGACAAATGAAATGGTTCAAAATGGGAACACTTTGCCTACCTGGTGCACAAGTCTTCTGAACCAAGTGCACCTACCGCCAACAGGGCTTCTGAATCAAGTGCACCTACCACCAACAGGGCTTCTGAATCAAGTGCACCTACCACCAACAGGGCTTCTGAATCAAGTGCACCTACCACCAACAGGGCTTCTGAATCAAGTGCACCTACCACCAACAGGGCTTCTGAATCAAGTGCACCACCACCAACAGGGCTTCTGAATCAAGTGCACCTACCACCAACAGGGCTTCTGAATCAAGTGCACCTACCACCAACAGGGCTTCTGAACCAAGTGCACCTACCGCCAACAGGGCTTCTGAATCAAGTGCACCTACCACCAACAGGGCTTCTGAATCAAGTGCACCTACCACCAACAGGGCTTCTGAATCAAGTGCACCACCACCAACAGGGCTTCTGAATCAAGTGCACCTACCACCAACAGGGCTTCTGAATCAAGTGCACCTACCACCAACAGGCTTCTTGAACAAGTGCACCTACCACCAACAGGGCTTCCTGAATCAAGTGCACCTACCACCAACAGGGCTTCTGAATCAAGTGCACCTACCACCAACAGGGCTTCCTGAATCAAGTGCACCTACCACCAACAGGGCTTCTGAATCAAGTGCACCTACCACCAACAGGGCTTCTGAATCAAGTGCACCTACCACCAACAGGGCTTCCTGAATCAAGTGTACCTACCACCAACAGGGCTTCTGAATCAAGTGCACCTACCACCAACAGGGCTTCCTGAATCAAGTGCACCTACCACCAACAGGGCTTCCTGAATCAAGTGCACCTACCACCAACAGGGCTTCCTGAATCAAGTGCACCTACCACCAACAGGGCTTCCTGAATCAAGTGCACCTACCACCAACAGGGCTTCTGAATCAAGTGCACCTACCACCAACAGGGCTTCTGAATCAAGTGCACCTACCACCAACAGGGCTTCCTGAATCAAGTGTACCTACCACCAACAGGGCTTCTGAATCAAGTGCACCTACCACCAACAGGGCTTCCTGAATCAAGTGCACCTACCACCAACAGGGCTTCCTGAATCAAGTGCACCTACCACCAAAAGGGCTTCCTGAATCAAGTGCACCTACCACCAACAGGGCTTCTGAATCAAGTGCACCTACCACCAACAGGGCTTCCTGAATCAAGTGCACCTACCACCAACAGGGCTTCCTGAATCAAGTGCACCTACCACCAACAGGGCTTCCTGAATCAAGTGCACCTACCACCAACAGGGCTTCTGAACCAAGTCCACCTACCACCAACAGCAACACAAATAATAATAAAAGGAGCACAAGCCTTTATCATTGGCTTTCCTCCAGGAATGTTTGGTGATCGACTAGGAATGCCTTGAAGATCGACCGGTTGGTGACCACTGGAACTCCATCAAATCTTTGAAATTGTTGCATGTTGCGTTTATATTTTTGTTCAGTGTACATAACTTTGTTTCTGTAAAAACAGCCTGAGTATGTCTCATCCTCTCTCTCTCCTACCTGTATGAGGTGCAGCAGGGTGGCCTGGAGCTGGTTCTTAGAGAGGCCCCTGGGGTGGGGGTCCTCAGGGGCCTGTGGGGCCAGAAGGGCTGAGGGAGGATGAGGGCCAGGTGAGCAGTGGGGGTCCCCAGGGGCTTTGGGCTGGGGGCGCTTGGCCTGGGAGAAGACACTGGGGGACAGGAGGAGGGTAGGAGCCACCGTGGCTGGGATACGCTTGGGGGAGATCACCTGGAGATGGAGAGGGGATGGTTAGAGACCTTACTTCTACGAACCCAGATCCCTCCCTGTACAAAACCACTCCAGCACTTTATATGGTCCTTTGAGTCAGATAGGATATGTTTGTTTTTTTACCTGGAACTTCTGAGCAGCGGTGCCTGCAGAGTTCATGTCAGCCCAACTGTCCAGAGACCTGGCTGTAGAATGAGCTGACTGCTGGCCGTGCTGCCCCATGGCTGGGGGGGCTGGCTCGTGGAAGCGGGGGGCCAGGTTGGAGGAAGGCCTAGTGGGCTCCGGGACCAGACTCTGCTCCTGTTGAACCAGCTGCAGCCTCTGGAGCAGCTCATGGGGGGAGACGACACCAGTTAGCTGCACCGGCTGGGGGTGACCTGGCTGGGGTTGGAGGTGAAAGGGCTGGGGGTGGGACTGGGGTTGCTGGAAGGAGGGGAAAGGGTGAGAGGGCTGTGATTGAGGTTGAGGATGACCAGGCTGGGTTTGGTGGAGAGGCTGAGACTGGGAGGGGTGTGAGGGCTGCAAGGGCACCAGCATCTGGGGGGGCTTGGTGGGTCTGAAGTACAGCGGCTGGGCCTGGTGAGGGGGGAGGTGGAGGTGAGGGTGGTGGTGATGGTGTTGAGAACCAGGGAAGCCCAAAGCATCCACCAGGAGAGGCTGAGGACGGGCAGACTGGAGGCCAGGGATGAGAGGAGGAGGGGGGTGGGAACAACAGGGAGTGGAGGAGGCCATCGAAGGGGTGGTGGAAGTGGGATGGTTCTGGAACAGTCTCTGGATGGGGTCTTGTCTGGCCTGGATCTGCTGGTGGTGTTGGAGGGCAGAGGGGGCTCCGTTCTCATGCAGCCTGTTCTCGGGTGACTCGGAGACGGGTTGGAGCAGCTCCATGGGACCCCCTCTCTGGAGCTGGTTCTGAGGCTGGGAGGAGAAGGAGGAAGCATCCCTCATGAGCTTCTGGAAGGCAGGGCAGTGCTGTGGGGGGCTGCTACCTGAGATCAGAACCCCTTCCTGGGCCTGGACTGGGTCCTCGTAGGACAGGGAGCGGGCCACCGCCGGACGGACACCTCCAGGCTTACCCTGGGGCTGGGACCCTGGACCTCCTGACCCTGACCCAGCCATGGGAGAGACCAGCTCTGGTCTGGGCTGCTGGACACCAAACAGAGTGGCCAGAGAGAGAGGCCTGGGCTCTCCTTGACTATCCTAAGAGAGGGAAAGAGGATGGAGAGAGAGGGTGAGAGATAGGTGGTGTGAAACAGACAGGAGAGAACATAAGGTAACCAAACAGCAGAGAATACCTGTGATACCAGGTCAACACTGTGTTAGAAATCATTCATTTGACCATTTAAAAAACACTAATTCTAGCCACACAGGTGGAACACCTTATTTCCATTGTGTTCAATAAGGTGAAAGGCTGCGTGTACCTGAACAGGCCTCTCCTGTAGCACAGCCTGGGGATATCTCTCCATAGGTTTGACAGGGATAGGTTTGATCAGGTTGGGGTTGTCATCAAGGACATTACATCCTCCTATCTCCTTAGGCTCTGGATTACCACCCTGAGAGGAGAGGGGGAGAGAGGGAGACAGGGGGAGAGACAGAGGGAGAGAGAGAGAAAGAAAGAGAGAGAGAGAGAGAGATAAAGAAAGAGATAAAGAGAGAGAGAGAGAGAGAGAGAGAGAGAGAGAGAGAGAGAGAGAGAGAGAGAGAGAGAGACAGAGAGACAGAGAGACAGAGAGACAGAGAGACAGACAGAGACAGAGACAGAGTGAGAGAGACAGAGGTGCATTCAGGAATATATTAGCATGCACACATTATGCCACAGCAGCAAACATTTTATTTCCTCAGAAATACTTACAGAAATCACAGGCAGCAGCCTTGTTATATATGCCTTAGTGCCCCCTAGTGGTAGTGGTGGGTTAGTACCGTGTCATAGTGCTAGCACATACAGTAGGTACCTACCTTGTCATACTCATTGCGTGCTTTGGTCAGCATCTGCAGGATGTCCACTCCTTGTCCCTTCCCAGGGTCCCCTGCTGCCTCCAGGGCTCGAGGAGACACCAAGCCCCCCTGACCCTGTGCCTGTTGACCCAGCTGGGCTAGGGCCTGTTCCTGCTTCGTCAGACTGGAGAGAGAAGAGGTTAGAGTGTCTGTGTGAGTGAGTGAGTGAGTGAGTGAGTGTCTGTGTGAGGGAGTGAGTGAGAGAGTGAGGGAGTGAGTGAGTGAGTGAGAGAGCATGCAATAATTCGACTGCATTGACAGGAGATTGAGCAAACCTCGATTATGTGTTTACACGCACAGTCACATTTCATTTTTACACGGTCTCACACACAGTAACAGATGGTCATTCACTAGGGAGGCCACTACACAACAATCATTACATAAATCAACTGGAAACTGGTAGGGTTTAAATCACTGTGTGTGTGTATGTGTGTGTCTCTGTGAGTGTGTCTGTGCCTGTGCGTGTGTGTCTGTGCTGTTATGAATTGGCAATGGTCTGGCCCAATGCAGGCCCTGGTCCAAAGTAGTGCACTATATATGGAAAAGGGTAGCATTAGAGACACAGCCACTTAGTATTAATCTGACAGCTATTAGTTCACTAGGTGCCTTTGTATCCAGCAGGGGAATGCTGCCGCAGCGAATGCTTAATAAAACAATGTTTACATGATTTAACTATGATGGAGTGCTTTTAGTGGAGCAGTGTGGACAGACACAGACACCAGTGTTTTAGTGCAGCAGTGTGGACAGACACCAGGGGCTAGTAGCTGGTGGTAGATAGTGAGTGATGATAGCTTGCAAGGACAGCGCCATGGGGACACAGAGAGGGAGAGGTGTTACTCACTTCTTCATAAGCTCTGCGATGCGCTGGCAGTCCGCCTTATCATAGAACCAGATGCCATAGATAGCTACTAGAGAAAGAGAGAGAGAGAGAGAGAGAGAGAGCAGCGCAGGGAGCGAGACAGGTCACAGGTCAGTCAATGGCCGCAATCGAGGCTCCAATCTAAATCCAGGCAAAACAGACTGCAGTGCAGCGTCAACATCAGTCCACCCCCCTCAGACATAGAGTCATCGCTAAATACACCAGCTAGCACCATGGGAGTCGTTTCATTTCCCAGCCATCACAAAACACTGTGAGAAAGTAATGAAAGATAGAACATGTGTGTGTGTGATCCTCTGTGTGTGATCCTCTGGGTGTGTGTGTGTGATATGATCCTCTGTGTGTGTGTGTGTGATCCTCTGGGTGTGTGTGTGTGATCCTGTGTGTGTGTGTGTGATCCTGTGTGTGTGTGTGTGATCCTGTGTGTGTGTGTGTGTGTGTGTGTGGTGGGGCTATAAGACATGGTCCATGGGGACATAAACAGTGGTATACAGTGGAGATAAATAAGTACCAATCTGGGAATAGGATCTAAAGTCTAAAATAACCTGAACGATGAATGTTGGTGACTGTTGAAATAGGTTCACTGCTGTGTGTGTGTGTGTTGGCAGGCTCCCTGATGTGTTCCTTCCTGGCAGGCAGTCTGAGAGGAGGAATCGGGGCTGTGTCCCAATTATCTCTCCTTCCTCCCGAAGTGTGCACTTGTTCACTCCCCTTCACTGGTTTGAAAATGAAACACGGTGTAAACTCCCCTTCTAGCCCATGCCTCCGCCAACACAATGCTTTTTAGATTAGTGGGAAGTAGTGAACACTTTAGGGGAAGTGAGATATTATTGGGACACACCCCGAGGGATTACAGTGGAGACGGTGCTTCACACAAACAATTCCTCCTACTGGGGCACTGTTCATCCAGGATGGTTCCGGACATTCCCGGAACGGAAGATATACCGATAGATTCCAGGAAGGGGAGACCGGGCTGTGTTCAGCAGAGGACAATATATTCCACCATTGAGACACCGTGGGATTACCTACTGTCATTATTAAAACGCAAGTCATGACTCACGCAAGACCACGTTAACTTCTTGGAAACTGTGACGACTTTCACCCGAGTGGACTATCATGGATTAAATAAAGATAAATACATAACAGTCCTGTGTTGATCTCGTCACCATCTTTAGTCATGATTCATGACATTGTTATGGATTAAGTGCAGGTTCTGGGTTCTGTCACCATGACCACATTGGCGTCTTAGTGTCATAATTACTCAGGGTAGCCTACATCAATGTTACAGACATATATGTGCTATGGGAAAGGACAAATGTCTCTGTGGCAGTTATCCAGGGTTAGGGCAGGCTGGGGCCGGATCATTGGGTGGTGGGGTAGGGACCATAGGGGGGGTAGAGGGGTAGGGACCATAGGGGGGGTAGAGGGGTAGGGACCATAGGGGGGGGGTAGAGGGGTAGGGACCATAGGGTGGGTAGAGGGGTAGAGGGGTTATTGAGGCTCTGGATCAGAGAGAGTTAGAAGCCAGGCCAGGCCACTACTCTACTCAGCGTGACTGAGACAGGAGACCTGTTGACAGGCAGACCAGGAACACTTCTCCTGACACCTCCATCAGAGTAGAGCTCACGCAGCCTCAAATAGGCCAGGCAGGGAGATAACACCCCGGCACGCCGGTCGGCCCAAAAAAAAGAGAGGACAGGGGGAGAGATAAGGAAGGAGGAGAGAGAAAGGAGGGAAGAGTGAGGGAAGCAGGGTGGAGACTGAGGGAAGGACTGAACGCCAGCCAGTAGAATAGAGCATGCTGGCTCCTGACTGACAGAGAGAGAGACTACAGTGAGAGAGTAACTGAGTCAGTGAGGACAGCGGGTAAAAGCACTGGGAGTTCTGAGTAGCTGGATCTGCTACGGTCTGTCTGCTGCCACCCTGTCTGCCCCCCTGAGCTGTGTACCCTGAGCTGCCCTGCCTGGGGCTGTGGAGAGCCAAAGGTCACCCCCTGGGAAAAGGACCAGACAGACGCTCCAAACCCTGGGAAAATAAAGAACCAGCGAGGGCAGCGAGGAGAGAGAGAGAGAGAGACATCTCTGGAGGAGCTGAGAGACCACTTAGCTTAGTAGCTACAGGGGACTACTCTGGTTAGACTCCCCTACTACTCTCTCTGGGAAGGACTGAGACATCACCAAGTCTCACACCAGGCAGTCTCTCTGAGAAGACTGTACTGTTAGAGGAGAGACAGGTACAGGAGGAGGAGAGACAGGTACAGGAGGAGGAGAGACAGGTACAGGAGGAGGAGAGACGGGTACAGGAGGAGGAGAGACGGGTACAGGAGGAGGAGAGACGGGTACAGGAGGAGGAGAGACGGGTACAGGAGGAGGAGAGACGGGTACAGGAGGAGGAGAGACGGGTACAGGAGGAGGAGAGACAGGTACAGGAGGAGGAGAGACAGGTACAGGAGGAGGAGAGACAGGTACAGGAGGAGGAGAGGCCGGTAAAGGAGGAGAGACTGGAACAGGAGGAGAGACAGGTACAGGAGCAGAATAGAGCGGTCAGGTACCTCAGTATTTTAAACCAGAGACTGAGGCAGAGAAAGGGTTCTATTGGTTCATTATTTCCTCATAGAACAAAAGGGGGGTGTTAAAGGAAGAGGACAGACAGGAGACTAGTATCTCAGCAGTACCAGCGGACAGACAGACAGACAGGAGACTAGTATCTCAGCAATATCAGAGGACAGACAGACAGACAGGAGACTAGTATCTCAGCAGTACCAGAGGACAGACAGACAGGAGACTAGTATCTCAGCAGTACCAGAGTAAACGTTGTCTGAACGTTGGTTGTCACCTTGCAGCACTAAAGCAGAAGTCCTCCTTTGGAAAAGAGGCAAGGGACCGAGACAAGGAGAATAGGAAGGTCTGTAAGAAGAAGAGGATAGACGGGTACCTCAGCAGTACCAGAGAAAACATTGTCTAAACGTTGTGTAAACGTTGTGACCTAGCAGCAGCTCCACAACACTACTACTACTACTACTAGACTATCGTCTTAGAGGGACTATGTTGGGGTGGTTGTTCCAGCGTAAACCCAAACATGAGCGTCTTCAAGAGGAGCCGGAGGTTCGGGCAGCCAAGGGGATGCTCATCTCAGAGACAGAGATGGGGTACACCTACGTACGGCCAGGAGGTAAGGAAAGCGTCAAAGTGTTGTCATATAGCAGTGTTCCAAATGGCACCCTATTCCTTCTGTAGTGGCCGTGTCCCAAATGGCACCCTATTCCTTCTGTAGTGGCCGTGTCCCAAATGGCACCCTATTCCTTCTGTAGTGGCCGTGTCCCAAATGGCACCCTATTCCTTCTGTAGTGGCCGTGTCCCAAATGGCACCCTATTCCTTCTGTAGTGGCCGTGTCCCAAATGGCACCCTATTCCTTCTGTAGTGGCCGTGTCCCAAATGGCACCCTATTCCTTCTGTAGTGGCCTGTCTCAGGTGTGTTTCTTAGCCTTTTTTGTCACCCTGTCAATCAGGTTTTCCGTTAGGTAAAATGTGTAGCTGACCGGCATGCATTTTAATTTACCGGACATTTGAGAAATTTACCGGACCCATATGCATTGGGTGCGTAACCTGATTAGGGCGTCCACCCTACGGTCCTCAGAATGACAGAAATCCCATTTAGATGATGGTCGTTCATATTAACAGAACACGCAAGTCGAGGATGCAACGATATGCGGGTCCTTCTTCCTGAATTCTAATGTGCACTTTGAAGATGTTAGAAATAACTTGTCCACATGTACTTTTCCTCAGCCAACAAGACGAGTAACCAACAGCAAAATCACTAGCCTATGTCAATCTACTATCACCCATAGTAGAAAAGTTAACCTATTCTATTGGTCAGCTTGTCGAGAAAACAATAGCCTGTTCCAAACTGACTCTGGGACAGTTGTGGGACGATGGATCCCAAATTCATCCAACCAGTAGACCTAGGCTACATAACAAACATTAAAAAGCAATGTCTGATGCGACAGATCAGAACGTTTAGCTTTAAAAATGTTGATAAAACTATTATTTCTGAACATTATCAGCGCATCAAAGCGCACAAGGCAGAAGGCTACGAGCGGCTGTTCGTTCCATAAAGCAACTGGTGGGGAAACAAGTTGTCAAAAGGACACTGCCCGATGCGAGCGGTTTCATGTGACAGAGATGAAAATATCCGTTAGAAATGTAGAAAGAGGGGAGATCTAAAGATGCAACAACTAGCATGGGTTGCTAATATGACTAGGATTGGGCCTTTGGCTACTGGACAATGAAAGAAAGTTTAAATAAAATTATTTCCTCCACAGATCTTATTTTGGCTAGGCTACATTGAAGCAAGTTAAGATATACCTCATAATATGTATTCAAACATTAAGGTTTCAAACAGTTAAGTAAAATGTTTTCAAAATGCATACTGCCTCCAGCTCATTGCAAAGTGGTGTTACTCTCTGATGAAGCCTGCCTTCCGTTGCATTTGCTGTTTGAGATGCCGCAGCAGCTCTCTGTCTGACAGGTTTTCAGCTCTAAGGCTCTGCATCTGTACGGGGTGATAAATAAAGATGCATCATGAATACTGGACACACGCCCACATTTAATTCCACTAAATTATGCAAATTAACCTATAGACCGATGAGTATGACCAGTCAAATGTATTTCCATCGACTGGTATTTCCATCAATTGACTAAAAAGCATTATTTTTCAATGGGATTTTTTCCCTTCTTCTCCCGGACAATTGGCCGGCACCAATTGTATTTATCGGCTTTTCTATATAGATCTTTTTTTTTGTCCAAAAGCCAGCTATTACAGGCTATCAGAAACCCTGCTGTCAACGTCACATAATAATGATGTCACAGCAGAGACAACATTCTAATTGGCCTGGCTGGCACTTCCACCAGCTAATGACCCCATGCTGAAATATTTGTTTAGTGATAAGATTCCGTGACCACTCGTGAAAGGTCATTTTGAGGGACGTGTGGTGTTCTAAACATCCCATATAAATAACTCTGTTAGCTATATTTTTTCCCCTCAGGACAGTTCTGTTTGTGTGTAAATGTCTAATAATTAGAGGACTATAACCCAAACAGAACGAGGACTCCAGCAATATCTTAAACAAAGCATTCCACCGGTCTGTCACTGAGAATGATGTGTGCATCAGTGTGTGTGTGGTGTGTTTGACTTACAATGAAGGGTTGGTTTGTATCTAATGTAGGCTGGATCCCTGGTGTTGGCAGGACACTTGCGGTAGAAAACCGGCACAGAGGCACTCAAACCTGGGACTACTGCCACCAAAATACCTCTGGACCATATATGGACCTGTGGGGCCACAGCCACTAGACTAGAGACGGCTCCAGGCTCCTCTCCTCAGGGTGTGTGTGTGTGTGTGTGTCTGCAGCACTGAGTCTCTCAGTCTGCAACCGACCTGGGTTCAAATACTATTCGAAGTCATTTCAAACACTTTATTTGGGCTTGATTGAGCTTGTCTGGCTTAACGCACTAATAGAATAGTCCCCAAACTATAAATCCCACCCATCAGGCACCCCAGCCGGGCTAGGGGATACGCTCAAAGGTTTTTTAAAGATTTCAAAATAGTGTTTGAACCCAGGTCTGGTCTGCACTCCGCAAATAGTTCTCTCATTTAATGAAGTGTTCCATGATTGTCCAGGAATCCTGGCCTATGCCACTTGGAAGAAAGTTAGCTTCATCTTCAATCTGTTTAAACTATGCTGACCTCTCCAGTAGTATTGACCATGATTCACATTCAATCTCTTTCTAGAAATGTAAGATTTGTTCTAATCAAATGAAAATCTTCCGAGATGTGTAGCCTAGCAGGACTTAAATAAATATGACCTGGAATGCAAAGATCAACATCTACAGGCCTATACCTCTGACCCATAGTTCCTGTGGTGATATATACACACTGATGGACACATAGTTCCTGTGGTGATATATACACACTGATGGACACATAGTTCCTGTGGTGATATATACACACTGATGGACACATAGTTCCTATGGTGATATATACACACTGATGGACACATAGTTCCTGTGGTGATATATACACACTGATGGACCCATAGTTCCTGTGGTGATATATACACACTGATGGACACATAGTTCCTGTGGTGATATATACACACTGATGGACACATAGTTCCTGTGGTGATATATACACACTGATGGACACATAGTTCCTGTGGTGATATATACACACTGATGGACACATAGTTCCTATGGTGATATATACACACTGATGGACTAAGGTATTCAAATGCCCAGGTACTGAATAGGCAGGCTGAACAGCCCAGGTACTGAGTAGGTAGGCTGAACAGCCCAGGTACTGAATAGGTAGGCTGAACAGCCCAGGTACTGAATAGGTAGGCTGAACAGCCCAGGTACTGAATAGGTAGGCTGAACAGCCCAGGTACTGAATAGGTAGGCTGAACAGCCCAGGTACTGAGTAGGCAGGCTGAACAGCCCAGGTACTGAGTAGGTAGGCTGAACAGCCCAGGTACTGAATAGGTAGGCTGAACAGCCCAGGTACTGAATAGGTAGGCTGAACAGCCCAGGTACTGAGTAGGTAGGCTGAACAGCCCAGGTACTGAGTAGGTAGGCTGAACAGCCCAGGTACTGAATAGGTAGGCTGAACAGCCCAGGTACTGAGTAGGCAGGCTGAACAGCCCAGGTACTGAGTAGGTAGGCTGAACAGCCCAGGTACTGAGTAGGTAGGCTGAACAGCCCAGGTACTGAGTAGGCAGGCTGAACAGCCCAGGTACTGAGTAGGCAGGCTGAACAGCCCAGGTACTGAGTAGGTAGGCTGAACAGCCCAGGTACTGAGTAGGCAGGCTGAACAGCCCAGGTACTGAATAGGTAGGCTGAACAGCCCAGGTACTGAGTAGGCAGGCTGAACAGCCCAGGTACTGAATAGGTAGGCTGAACAGCCCAGGTACTGAATAGGTAGGCTGAACAGCCCAGGTACTGAGTGGGTAGGCTGAACAGCCCAGGTACTGAGTAGGCAGGCTGAACAGCCCAGGTACTGAATAGGTAGGCTGAACAGCCCAGGGGACTGAGTAGGCAGGCTGAACAGCCCAGGGGACTGAGTAGGCAGGCTGAACAGCCCAGGGGACTGAGTAGGCAGGCTGAACAGCCCAGGGGACTGAGTAGGCAGGCTGAACAGCCCAGGGGACTGAGTAGGCAGGCTGAACAGCCCAGGGGACTGAGTAGGCAGGCTGAACAGCCCAGGGGACTGAGTAGGCAGGCTGAACAGCCCAGGGGACTGAGTAGGCAGGCTGAACAGCCCAGGGGACTGAGTAGGTAGGCTGAACAGCCCAGGGGACTGAGTAGGCAGGCTGAACAGCCCAGGGGACTGAGTAGGCAGGCTGAACAGCCCAGGGGACTGAGTGGGTAGGCTGAACAGCCCAGGGACTGAGTAGGCAGGCTGAACAGCCCAGGGGACTGAGTGGGTAGGCTGAACAGCCCAGGGACTGAGTGGGTAGGCTGAACAGCCCAGGGACTGAGTAGGCAGGCTGAACAGCCCAGGTACTGAGTAGGCAGGCTGAACAGCCCAGGTACTGAGTAGGCAGGCTGAACAGCCCAGGTACTGAGTAGGCAGGCTGAACAGCCCAGGGACTGAGTAGGCAGGCTGAACAACCCAGGGGACTTACAGCGAGCGTTCCTGTAGAGGAGGAAGGGGTCCTGCAGTTGGAAGTCCAGGTCTTTAGTGATGGGTTCAGTCAGGTTCTCCATGCTCAGCCTGTTCATTATGGTGAAGCCATGTCTGGGAGACGCCAGCCTGAGGACAAACAGGAGGACATGAATAGAAAGAGCTAAGGGACTTTACATTGCACAGGCCTTATACCAGAGTTAATAGCAAAGTACACAGGAGGGCATGAATAAAAACATTTAAATAAAAGCGGGAGGTACTTTACATTACATACAAGTTCAATAACCTGTGTAACACGCTAACAGCCTGGAAACTAACCAGTAAGTACATGCATGCATCGGAGTTTGAGAATTTTCTTAAGAGTACAAGAACTACAGTGGTAATGTATGTACAAGTAGGCCTACAAGGAAACGGAAAGGTGTTGCATGTTCAAGTAGGACAACAAGGAAACAGAAAGGTGCTGCATGTTCAAGTAGGCCTACAAGGAAACAGAAAGGTGTTACATGTTCAAGTAGGCCTATAAGGAAACAGAAAGGTATTACATGTTCAAGTAGGCCTATAAGGAAACAGAAAGGTATTACATGTTCAAGTAGGCCTATAAGGAAACAGAAAGGTATTACATGTTTATGACCCATTTCCTGGGTGGGATAGGGTGTGTGGGAGTAGTCATGGCTCTTCCAGGCTACAGGCCAGAATAGTCTACTGAGTGATAACCAATCTGTTCAGAGTGAGGCTGACGTAGCTAGCCCACTAAGCCCATTATGTTTAACCTGATGGAGGCAGGCTTCTCAGCTCACAGCTGAAGTATACACAGAGACTGGTCCCAAATGGCACCCTATTCCCTATATAGGGCAACATTTGGGACGGATCCAACCAAGTTTCAGCGCTCCCGGGGGAAGTACACAGAGAAAGTAATTAGCTAGCATCGTAAAAGACCCATTATACCTTGTGTACACAAACAGGGTCCCCTCCACGTCAGTCTTCTCCTGCAAAACAAACACAACATACAGTAACTGATTAGGGTTGAATGAATTAAGGACATTGATTTGCTTGAACAGAGTCTTGATTGATCTCTCCTTAACATTCATAGCAAAATGTTACGTAGGCTGTGGGATATGAAGAAAACGTCTACCGGTGCGATGATTGAGTCACCGATTATTTGGACCAATCATGATTTCGGGGGGGGGGGGGGGGGGGGGGGGGGGCACCTACATCTGCATTTTTTTTATGTTTGAAAGGGGAGGGGTTCACCACCGTCACACCCACCTTCAGAACCAAGTGGGCAATTCCACGATAACAGAATGATTCTGAGACTCTGATTTTTCACTTTTAAAATGTATGCCAAACAAAAACCAATGATTGCAAAGTTAAACCACATAACTCTATGCACAAGGATGGAAAAACACATTTACTTGAAGAACAGTGCAGATGCAAAGTTTGGTAACAGAATGACGGCACAAATAGCACAAACCGTGATCCTGTTAATGTTACCAAACTTTGCACCCTGCATCAAGTAAATGTGTTTTTGTAAGATATTCTTAAAAGTCATCCTTGTGCATGGAGTTGTATGGTTTGTTTAACTTTGCAAATCTTTAGTTTTTGTTTGGCACATATTTCAAAATGATAAAATCTGTGTCTCAGCATTATTCTGTTCCCTTGGAATTGCCCAAATCCAGAGGCAAGCATTCACACAAGATTTGGTTCTGGGTGGCCCATATTCACTGACCTATCTACTACTATGTCAGTCTGAAAACTGTCAGCTGTTTACAAACTAGTAGCAATGTGATAAATACTTACTCTTGTCCACCACATCTCACTATAATAACTAGCTGGTGGGCAATAGGTACTATGTGCTCCAGTATCTGTGCGTTCGAGTTGTTGACGATGAGCGTGATGCGTCTCCTCTAACGCCCAGGGCCTGGTTTCCCAAAAGCATCTTAAGGCTAACGCCGCGTTCACGTTATAGTCGGAACTCTGACATTTCCGACTTCCTAACAGGTTGTAGTTATACGCGTGTCATGTTCAACCAGTTAGCAAGTCAGAAATATTTCACATTTCCTAGTGCCAACTAGCACGTGAACGTGGCATAAGTTCATAGAATCTTTGTAGGAGCATGGTTAAATCTCAGAGCTGTTTCCCAAAACCATCGTTATTAACGTTGCACTTGAAAAACGCTCGTAATCTAACGCCTGCCTCAGACCACTCGTAGAACAGTTAAATGTGTCGTTGGATGGTTCCCTGCCCTCCCACTTTATACACAGATCCACTAAACATAGAGAATCACAAGATGTATACGTCTCTCCGTGACCGCGATAACTTCAGAACAAAGTTGACTACAAATACAGAAGTTGCCAATGTCTTTGCAATTGATACAAGTCAAGCAACGTATAAAAAGAGGCTTCAAATGAAAACCAAGATTGGCTGCATTAAAACAAACAGTAAACTATAGGCATATTTCAAATCAGTTTTATTTTGCTACTTGTAGGCTACTGTCTAATGTGTCTCGACATATTTCATGATGTGTATCCTAAAAGGCGTGGCGCGGTGAATCCGACGTCTGCATTGGGCCATGCAGCGTTTACGGTGATATAACCTCCGCAGAAGTCAGGGCATTCATACTTCTTGCCCTTCGCGGAGCAGCGCAGAGCTGTTGAGCCGAGCTGCTGTGAAAGAAATTGTCAAGGATGTGAATTTGTGTTTATACAGGACCTACCGTCACCCAATCAATTCAATGCAGAGCTATTTGGAGCCCGCCGCATTGTTACAACATTTGGGAGGCGCACGGAGATGCGGTACGGAGCTCAATTTGGCCTCTGCGTGCCTCCGGAGGCTCTGCAATTGTGTCACACCCTCCATAGGGGCCTCTGACTACATTTCACGTGCGCCTCTCAAAATGTAACAATGTGAAGGACTACATACAGCTCCACATTTACATGATTGGTTGACGTGGGTGGGGGCGGGAGGTCCTGTATAAACACAAACTCACTTCCTTGACAACAGCTCTGCAAAGCACAAAAAGTATGTTTGCTCTGAGTTCTGCATAGGCCGCATTACAGTAAATGCTGTCTGGCCACTGCTGACGTCGGATTGACCATGCAGAGCCTTTTAGCAACCATTCTTCTCTCTGCGTGGTGTTTTGGGAAACGCATGTTACATCTTCAGCTGTTGTAGGAAAGATGCATCTTGAAAACACTCTTAAGCCTAAATTCCATCGCTATCGGAAACCGGGGCCTTGAAGCTCCGATTTAAACTCATTTACATTTTTTACATTTAAACTCCCATTAGACAGCTCTGCAAGCGTTAGCTATAATGTCAAAATGCGTTCGTTACTCACCAAATATGGAGTCTTGCTGAGCAACTATCTTAATTTACTCCCGTTACAGCCGGTACGTACTTCCAAAAAAGGTCTAAATGAAAAGTAACCGAAAATATGCTCTAATGCTATTGAGCTGTTGTAGACTTCCGACCTGTGCGTGGCATTAATGTGTAATTTACAATGGAGGTTTCAAATAGGCTTTTTTCGGTTGTTTGTCAAATAAATAAATACACATACACATTAAGATAGTTGTTCTGCGAAACTCCATATTTTGTGAGTAACAAACGTATTTTGACAAAACGCTTGCTGAGCTGTGTAATGGGAGTTTGAATCTGAGCTTCTTGGGCGATATGCCGCCTTCAAAACAACTGGGAACTCGTAAATCTCCGACTTCCGAGCGTTCAAACATCTGGGACCTCGGGAATAAAACGATCTCGGACTGTGAAAAATCGATTTGAACGGTCATCCACCTCGGGAACTCGGGCCTCTTTGTAGAACTCCGACCTGAAGATCACTGACCTCATGATTTGACCTCGTATTTTTCCCGAGTTCCCAGTTGTTTAGAACGCCGCGTCATATTCATCGTCGACATCTCTAACGCACATAGTTGGCAGGCATTATTGCCACGTTAACGTGCTTAGTCGGAATTAGGAAACGTCCAACTTGCTAATATGTTAGCTATACACGTGCCGTGTCCAACCAGTTAACAAGTCGGACGTTTGAGTTTCCTAGTGCCGACTAGGACGTGAAAGCGGTATAGGGTGATGTTAGCTAGCTTTCTAGCTAGCTAGTTTATTGGAGAACTAGTTAATGCTAAATTGACAAGCCAAATCTTCCAAAACCACGTGAATTCAACCTGGTAAACTAGCTTATAATGTGGCATCCATATCTGTCCGCCACGATGTTAGTTAACGTTAGATGCATGCAACTTTGTTGAAAAGAGAAGCGCGCGCGAACAGAGGTAACATCCCCTAACTCACCCACTCATTTGATCGGTTGTTGAAAGTATACAACGCCACTTGACTCGCCACATCTACAATGTTGTTGATGTAAGGATCTTGTCTTTGCAGGGCGGCGAGACTAATGTCCAAACCTTTAGCAGTGAGACAGGTGTTTCCACCCGATGAGCTTGCAGTCATTGTTCTCTGTGAGCTAGCTAGCTAGTTTAGGTCGCTACCAATGCTAACTGGCACGCTATCGCAGGTGAAGGAATTTGTGACGGTTCCAAAGTAAAAAAAGCACACTATTGAAACTATCCTCGTCACATTACACTTATGAATTCAAATATTTAAAATAATTAAAGAGAACATAAAAGTGAAGTGTAACTGTTCGGTACACTATCAACAGCTCACTTGACAGCAGCCATGTTTCGTCGAACAGATTGTAAACAATTAGGCATGACGAGTTGAGCGTGGATGGATATAAGGAACGTTAATCAATCTCGAAAAATAGATTGACCGCTTCATCAGGCGGAAGCAGAAGTTGATGATGAAGGAAGAAGGATGTTTATTGGCTAGGCAGGTTGCACCAAAATAACTTTGGACTTTGTCAATGATATCTTGTTAGAATCCATCGTTGAATCCATTGAATTCCATTTTGTCCTGAAAAGTTTTGAAGGCTTACTTCAAAATCACTTTTATATCAGTCTGATCATTGAAATTCGTTAATTTGTTAATTAATTAATTAGTCGACTTAATACCTTGTTTAGCAGATACAATTTGCAGCATATCATAGGCCTGAAAATGTGTGCTGCCGAAGTTGATGGGGGAAAAAAACGATGCAGTCTGCATTGGTGGCTCTAGAGGGCGCCACTTCCTTTGAAAAACGTCTATTTTTTAAAAATTGATTTACCTCAATGCTGCCTTTCGCTTGGGCATTGAGCTAGGCTATATTTAGTGTGTAATATCAATTCAACACGTAGCTCTACATGTTTCTATGGATAGATTGTGATTCTGGCAGTGGCAGGGTTATTGATAGCAGGTGAAACCTTTGGTCACTATAGGCTATAGGCGTGTGCAATGAGCAGCATGTGAACAGCCATACCACCATAAACAGTAGCCTACCAGGCAGCACTCTACATGTCTTCATTACTCTGAAATATGTTTTATCTAGAAGGCTATTCATCTAGTATTTGTCCAGAATTCATAAGCACAATGACTGTTTTTGGACACCTTTGGTGCTAGAAAGCTATATGGTCTAATCAAACTCATCCCCCAAACAGAATTTAGGTGACCTGAGAACGTATATTTCCTTCATCTCATCTAACAATGCTTCAGACACAGTCAGATCCATTATGAGTGACTATGTCCCGGTGTCTGCGACTGATGGTCGGTGGGAGACGAAGGGAGAGGTGAGGAGGGATGGGGAGGTGGTCTCAGGACCAGTAGGGGCCCTGTGTCACAGAAGGGACAATAACTAATATGGCAAACACAGCACAGCAGCATCCAGTCTGCCTCCCAAATGGCACATTACATAGGGAATAGAGGGCTATTTGGGATGAAGCCAGAGTCGTCCATCCCCATTCTCTTGGGCATAGTGTCAGTTCCCACGACTTGCACTCAAATGCCAGTCCCTCTATCTGGCTCGTTTTAAACACAACACCAAGTTGACCTAGGACATTTATAGACTGAGGTCGATTATGTAATAGTTTCTTTGAACTGAACAATCTTTTGAGGACTCAATGATTTTTCATTGCAGTTTTCTGCTTTGGACATGATCAGGGGAGTGCCCTAAAAGTCATTATTGACGTGAATGAGATGGGGTTGCATAGGCAATAGCCTATTTTATTTTCTATTTGAACATCGACATAATCTATTTGTATCTGGACTATAGGGATTCACTTGAAATAGTGGTTGTATCTGTGTAACACGTTGGTGCCAAATCAAATTCATCATGTTTTGCGGTTCCATCAGGGTGTAAACATTACGCATATTCTGGCCACGTTTGGCGCGCGTAAAATCGAGGTATTGGAACTCAAACTGTAGCCGACTAAGATGATCATTCGATGATCTTCCACAGGCTTCCCATAAATGCGTCTATTAAGCCACTAAGGCATTTAAAAACTGTAGGTTTATAAACTGGTTAGCCTGCTATTGTCAGTGATAGAGATCTCACGCTTGGGAATGAATCCATCCAGATATAATCTAAGTCAGGTTTAACAGATTTCCTCCTTCCTTCCTCCATCCTCCAGAAATCAAAGCACAAGCCCTATCTGACTTCACTGTGCTTATTTAGCTCCCTCTCCAGAGATAGCAAGTCTGGAAAATCATGGACGGTTTACTCTATTTTCTAACGTTGTAGCAGGCTAACATCTGGAACCAGTCAGATCGTCTACAGGGGAGGGGGGCTTGGTCGTCACCCCCCCTCTGTCTCGTGCGCTCTCTCTCTCTCTCTCTCTCTCGCTTGCCTCTCACCAGACAATATCACTGCAGAGAGGTACAAGCGGCCGCTCTCCACAGGGCTATTGAACTACTCCCGTTTCGTGCGATTCTGGCCTGGAATTGATGACTGAAAGTATCTGTAAATGAGGCACGCCACGTGTATTTGCCTGTTTTTTTGGACAGCATTTGGTGGAATCGATTCTATTGGGAGATTTAACCCTGTGTGAGCAGCACTTCTGGAATATATCTTTTTTTTTTTTTTGCGCTGAGAGCTTGAATCTTTGTTTCTTTTCCTTTTACGGCATCAGTGGCAGCGCCAGGGGTTTGGTGTCATTGGTTCGGCTTTTGATGTACCCTATTTAAAACATTTGGGGGGCAAATTGATAGGATTTTGATTAATAGGTAGGCTAGCAGCAAATGGTGCTAGTGCCATGTTTCTTAGGGCCCGGATGTTCCGAGGATGCACTGGTTCGTCTTCTTAGGTGGTTCAAGCAAATATATATTTCTGTGTTTCAACTCCAGAATGGGGATCAGGTAATATTTATTGAAACGCAAAAAAAAAAAAAGGAATATCGAAAGCTGTCCGGGCGTTTTCCGTTTTTTTTTCTTCTGTTTGGTTTATTTTTTTCTCTACTCCTTTTCACAACCTCTTTCTCCATTCAACTACGGATAAAGCTGGACCACATTTATGGTAAATGAAAGCAAAAACATGTACATACCAGAGGACACCCTTGAGAACCATCAAGGTAATGCCTTTTTTTATATTCAGTTGTTTTCAAGCTGTGTGTGTTGTTGGGGAGGGGAGATGCATGATATTTCTTCTAGCATGGTTTGGATACGGGGAGCTAAAGGGAATGGGTTGTTACCTTCTCTTTTAAACAGATGGACATATGACACAAACCATAACGGGTTATTGGAGGTGTCAATTAGTTTTCACTGTTCGAGTTTTATCTGCATACATACATGCAGGCAGCCATAGGTAGGTTAGCCCAGCAGCAGATCATTATTATTAGCCGACAGGTAACCAACGGATTGACACATGCTCGCACACCTATAGGCTAAATAAGGTTTCACACATGCATTTTGTCCCAAGGCGAATGTTGCATTCGTTTACAAACTTGTGGATCGATTCATTTTTAATGCTTGGAGCATTCAAATCAAGCCCGTTTACAGAATGCAATGGAGGAAACGCACCGCCTGAGTGCATGCACAAAATGATAGCCCACTGATGCGCATCGATATTTTCGATCACCTATCGATTAATTTATCATGGATCGATACTCGCTTGTGAAACGTAGGGCTAATGTAGTTTACATGTCATTTGCATTCATGGCCAAGACATGGCACATTAACAGGCTATTTTCGGGATTTATAATCTAATTAAAATCACAGGCTATGCGCAGGGCCTCAATTGTCATCAGACTAGAATCTACATTTTGGGATTTTGCGTTTAAAATCTCAAACAAGATACGGATAACGTGGGACATAATTACTTTGAACATGCATCAAGCAATAGCCTATAGGCCAATTCTGATCAAGGGTCTGTCTGTTGCATGCATGTTGCGCAGTAGGCTATTTGCCTCTTCCCACGTTGAGCTGAGCATTACTAAATCACAACAGTAGCCTAAATCACAACAGTGTCCATAGGATATAGCCTACAATGCAGTGATTTAGTAGATCATTGTCTTAACTTGTGATTACCAACTACGGAGTAGGCAAAGCTGCCTTGCCTTTATCGTTGCCACCGACACCGTGGCGACAGCAGAGCGAGGAGAGGCGGGGGCCCATAGCAACAGAGAGAGAGTGCTCGAGCTGCGAGCAGCGGACTGTGGTCGCATACATGGAATCCTGCCTAAGCTTGTGCCACAGCATCTGTGGCGCAGCAGTTGATTGGTTTGGTCTCATAGTAAAACCATGACATAGCCTACATATCATCTTGGTGTCAACCCCCTGACACTCGCTATTAATATTTGTTGTCTGTCTCATACGAGGCGTGTTGGTCATAGCAGGCTACATTGCGTAACGCAGCATCACACATGGGGATTCCTCTGATAATATTTCTCCACCGATGGCTGGTTGTAGTAGACCTACACTATTATGTCAAATTTAGCAAACGCGTAACGAAATGTAGTCTAACTTTCCTCCATGAATAGTAGCCTATAGGCTCTCTCATTCGCCATTAATTGTTGATTTGGTGCTCCCGGCATTCCGCGGCCTTGGGTGGCCTTTTCAGCACCATGGACAGGTTATCTATGAAAGGCCGCCTGGCCGCCATGCCATGACCTCCGTATCTGGGCGCAACACTGAACATGCGTGGGAAACCAATGGTATTTCTTCTCTAATAGCCTGTTGTTTAAATAACCAACCTATTATTGTCATATCCTTAATTATTCGGATTTTCCCTCAGATGAGATCCACATCTATTCTCATGTTTTAGTGCAACAAGCTCGAGCTTCCTTTTTCCAGAGGAAATGTGGAGAAGGCTCCTCACTGCTAAACCCTGATTTGGTCCCAAATGACACCATATTCTCTAGTGCACAATAAATGGGATATGGTGCAGTTTGTCCTCTGACAGCTCTCAAGGGATTTCAGGTCATGGTACGAACAACTGTTTGTTAGTTTTTTCGCTGTTTCGCGGTTCCCGACATGGATTTTACGACCTCAGCTTTTATTCTCCCATACATTTAGCAAATCATCCATGTTACACTGTCCGGTTACGGCCTAGTTGTATTATTTGACCATCTTACATCAGGTTTTAAAAGTCGTATATTTTAGACTAGGCTACTGTCGTTCCCGCGTTCTGATCTAGGCCTACCTGTTGCTAGACTACCTAGTGTGAGCCGCTCCTGCCCTCCACCTTCGGGCTGGTGACCGCTTCATTCCATACAGTGTGCTTTCGTTTATTATTGATTAAGGTTTAGATTACATTCACAATGCCATTTCATTCGGTCAGCAGAGTAATCATCAATGGACCACGCTTTGTATGCCTATTGACGTTCTATTCAGTGCGACCTCAGTGCCATATGCCTTTGCCGATAGGCTATAGCTAGCCTATAGCATTACAGGTAAACAGAACCGTTGTGAACCAGGCAGTTGTAAAAATATATATTAGGCCAAACTCAGGAAGACTTCGAGTTATGTTGGTGTCAGACAGATTACGTCACAGGCCTGTACATATCTTCTCATTTGATTTATGCCTGAAATAAATTGAAATAAACTAATGTTTGATGCCGTGTTTGGTGTGTGTGTGTGTTCAAAATCAAATCAAATCGGTGTGTGTTCGGTGTGTGTGTGTGTGTGTGGGTTTGATGTATGTTGTGAATTGTGTGTTCGGTGTGTGTGTTTGTGAACCTCTTAGCTTCAACACCTTAGAAGCAGTACACTATGGTCCCAGTCAGTAGTGAGAGCTGTCTGTCGTTACAGTACACTATGGTCCCAGTCAGTAGTGACAGCTGTCTGTCATTACAGTACACTATGGTCCCAGTCAGTAGTGAGAGCTGTCTGTCGTTACAGTACACTATGGTCCCAGTCAGTAGTGACAGCTGTCTGTCATTACAGTACACTATGGTCCCAGTCAGTAGTGAGAGCTGTCTGTCATTACAGTACACTATGGTCCCAGTCAGTAGTGAGAGCTGTCTGTCGTTACAGTACACTATGGTCCCAGTCAGTAGTGAGAGCTGTCTGTCATTACAGTACACTATGGTCCCAGTCAGTAGTGACAGCTGTCTGTCATTACAGTACACTATGGTCCCAGTCAGTAGTGAGAGCTGTCTGTCATTACAGTACACTATGGTCCCAGTCAGTAGTGAGAGCTGTCTGTCATTACAGTACACTATGGTCCCAGTCAGTAGTGAGAGCTGTCTGTCGTTACAGTACACTATGGTCCCAGTCAGTAGTGAGAGCTGTCTGTCATTACAGTACACTATGGTCCCAGTCAGTAGTGAGAGCTGTCTGTCATTACAGTACACTATGGTCCCAGTCAGTAGTGAGAGCTGTCTGTCATTACAGTACACTATGGTCCCAGTCAGTAGTGAGAGCTGTCTGTCGTTACAGTACACTATGGTCCCAGTCAGTAGTGAGAGCTGTCTGTCATTACAGTACACTATGGTCCCAGTCAGTAGTGAGAGCTGTCTGTCATTACAGTACACTATGGTCCCAGTCAGTAGTGAGAGCTGTCTGTCATTACAGTACACTATGGTTGTCACGCCCTGGCTCTGGGGACTCTTTTATGTTGAGCTAGGGTGTTAGTTTCTATGTTGTAGTTTCTATGTGTTTATTCTAGATCGTTTAGATCTATGTTGGCCAGGGTGGTTCCCGATCAGAGGCAGCTGTTGCTCGTTGTCTCTGATTGGGAGCCACACTTAGGCAGCCTGTTTTGTACAGTTATTTTTGGGATCTTGTTCTGTATAGGTTTGTGTTGGTGAACCTGTAGACTTCATGTATCGTTTTGTTGTTCATGTCTTAAGTACTAATTAAAAGATGTACGCATATCACGCTGCGCCTTGGTCTGCCTCTTATGACGATCGTGACAGAAGATCCTACCAAAGAAGGACCAAGCAGCGTGTTCAGGAGCAAACACCGGGAAAGGAACTGGAGAAGTTGGCGATGTCCCAGGTGGGCGAATGGTGGTCTTGGGAGGACATGTTCGCGGGCAAAGGGCCATGGGCAAAAGTTAAAGCCCTGGCGAGAGAGGAGGTACGGCGCCAACAGTGCCGTCGTCGGACAGGCGAGAGGCAACCCCAATAAAAAAAATTTGGGGGGGCACACGGCATGGACGACAGGGCTGCTGGAGGCAGCTACAGGGCGAGTTTGTGGACTAGGAGAGGAGGCCACCAGGTTACGGGGGCCATTGGTCATGAGGGGGAAGGAGAGTGTAGAGGCACGGCGAGAGGTACTGGGGTGTGTTACCAGTCCGGTCCGGCCCGTTCCTGATCCCCGCACAAGGCCAGTTGTGTGTGTTCCCAGCCCGGTCCGGCCCGTTCCTGCTCCCCGCACCAAGACTGTGGTGAGCGTCGCCAGCCCAGTTCGGCCCGTTCCTGCTCCCCGCACCAAGCCAGTGGTGCGCGTCGCCAGCCCGGTCCGGCCCGTTCCTGCTCCCCGCACCAAGCCAGTGGTGCGCGTCGTCAGCCCGGTCCGGCCCGTTCCTGCTCCCCGCACCAAGCCAGTGGTGCGCGTCATCAGCCCGGCACGGTCCGTGCCTGTTCCACCGGTGCCTGGTCCGGCACCGGTCAGCTGCTCCAAACCGGAGCCAGAGCAATCCGCTCCACCGATGTCCAGTCCAGCTCCGGCCAGCGGGGCCAGACCAGACCAGGGGCGCTACGGGGGGGTAGATAGAGAGTGGTGGTCACGCCCGGAGCCGGATCCGCCTCCGAGGCGGAATGCCCACCCGGCCCCTACCCTCTTGTGTTTGGTTGGCGCGGTCGCAGTCCGCGCCTTTGGGAGGGGGGGGGGGGGGTACTGTCACGCCCTGGCTCTGGGGACTCTTATATGTTGAGCCAGGGTGTGGATGTTCTATGTGTTATTTTCTATGTTTCGTTCTAGTACACTATGGTCCCAGTCAGTAGTGAGAGCTGTCTGTCATTACAGTACACTATGGTCCCAGTCAGTAGTGAGAGCTGTCTGTCGTTACAGTACACTATGGTCCCAGTCAGTAGTGAGAGCTGTCTGTCATTACAGTACACTATGGTCCCAGTCAGTAGTGAGAGCTGTCTGTCGTTACAGTACACTATGGTCCCAGTCAGTAGTGAGAGCTGTCTGTCATTACAGTACACTATGGTCCCAGTCAGTAGTGAGAGCTGTCTGTCATTACAGTACACTATGGTCCCAGTCAGTAGTGAGAGCTGTCTGTCATTACAGTACACTATGGTCCCAGTCAGTAGTGAGAGCTGTCTGTCATTACAGTACACTATGGTCCCAGTCAGTAGGATGGTCAAAGATAGAATAACCACACACACTCACACACACACGCACACACACACACACACACACACACACACACACACACACACACACACACACACACACACACACACCACACACACACACACACACACACACACACAGGCTACCTGCCAGACTCATATCCTATGCGTGATCGCTCGTTATTAGTATGAATGTGTTTCTGATGAGTCTCTGGGTGACTGGACCAGCTCCAACACACCATGGGGGTCTCTGAGTGACTGGACCAGCTCCAACACACCATGGGGGTCTCTGGGTGACTGGACCAGCTCCAACACACCATGGGGGTCTCTGAGTGACTGGACCAGCTCCAACACACCATGGGGGTCTCTGGGTGACTGGACCAGCTCCAACACACCATGGGGGTCTCTGAGTGACTGGACCAGCTCCAACACACCATGGGGGTCTCTGGGTGACTGGACCAGCTCCAACACACCATGGGGGTCTCTGGGTGACTGGACCAGCTCCAACACACCATGGGGGTCTCTGGGTGACTGGACCAGCTCCAACACACCATGGGGGTCTCTGGGTGACTGGACCAGCTCCAACACACCATGGGGGTCTCTGAGTGACTGGACCAGCTCCAACACACCATGGGGGTCTCTGAGTGACTGGACCAGCTCCAACACACCATGGGGGTCTCTGGGTGACTGGACCAGCTCCGACACAACCATGGGGGTCTCTGGGTGACTGGACCAGCTCCAACACAACCATGGGGGTCTCTGGGTGACTGGACCAGCTCCAACACACCATGGGGGTCTCTGGGTGGACTGGACCAGCTCCAACACACCATGGGGGTCTCTGGGTGACTGGACCAGCTCAACACACATGGGGGTCTCTGATGAACTGGACCAGCTCCAACACACCATGGGGGTCTCTGAGTGACTGGACCAGCTCCAACACACCATGGGGGTCTCTGAGTGACTGGACCAGCTCCAACACATCATGGGGGTCTCTGAGTGACTGGATCAGCTCCAACACACCATGGGGGTCTCTGAGGACTGGACCAGCTCCAACACACCATGTGGGTCTCTGAGTGACTGGACCAGCTCCAACACACCATGGGGGTCTCTGGGTGACTGGACCAGCTCCAACACACCATGGGGGTCTCTGGGTGACTGGACCAGCTCCAACACACCATGTGGGTCTCTGAGTGACTGGACCAGCTCCAACACACCATGGGAGTCTCTGGGTGACTGGACCAGCTCCAACACGCCATGGGGGTCTCTGAGTGACTGGACCAGCTCCAACACACCATGGGAGTCTCTGGGTGACTGGACCAGCTCCAACACACCATGGGGGTCTCTGGGTGACTGGACCAGCTCCAACACACCATGGGGGTCTCTGGGTGACTGGACCAGCTCCAACACACCATGGGGATCTCTCAGTGACTGGACCAGCTCCAACACACCATGGGGGTCTCTGAGTGACTGGACCAGCTCCAACAGACCATGGGGGTCTCTGAGTGACTGGACCAGCTCCATCACACCATGGGGGTCTCTGGGTGACTGGACCAGCTCCAACACGCCATGGGGGTCCCAAATGGCACCCTATTCCCTATATAGTGCAGCCCAACTGGCACCCTATAAAGTGAATAGGGCTCCATTAAGGACACACAGGCTCTGGTCAAAAGTAGTGCACTATATAGGGAATAAGGTGCTATTTGGGCTGCAGCCCATCTCACCATCCAACTGGGTTCAGCATCCGAAGAGGATGAGCTTGTATTCTAGAAGATAGTCTGGTGGTAATGGGTCTATTCTAGAAGATATTCTGGTGGTAATGGGTCTATTCTAGAAGATATTCTGGTGGTAATGGGTCTATTCTAGAAGATAGTCTGGTGGTAATGGGTCTATTCTAGAAGATAGTCTGGTGGTAATGGGTCTATTCTAGAAGATAGTCTGGTGGTAATGGGTCTATTCTAGAAGATAGTCTGGTGGTAATGAGCCTATTCTAGAAGATAGTCTGGTGGTAATGGGTCTATTCTAGAAGATAGTCTGGTGTTAATGGGTCTATTCTGTGAGCTCTACCTGCGTTTTGGAACTGTTTCACCAGCCGGTTTATTTTCTCAGATTGTTGTGGTTACTATATTCAGTTCTATATACACAGCATAATAATAATAATAATAATAATAATAATAATAATAATAATTGGTATTTTATCTGTAAATGTCTTGAATTCTAATGTAAGCCTCAACATATTTTACTCACTCTTGCCAAACAACTGGATGTAAGTTCAAATTAACTTGTTTGTGTATAAATACATCAAGTAGAAATCCATACGTCAACAAGGAAGTGTTTATTAGGGGAGAAGCAGTCTGTTTGCTAATTGCCATTGGGCTGGGCTCTTTGGGACTATTACGAAGTCACTTATAATTCAGTATAGAACCAGAGAACAAAACACTACATCTGAACTGGGAACTGTGCCCATAATGCATCACTCCACTTTGTTCTGCTGGAAATCTAGACGTGGTGCACACAGCAACAGCTAACATCTGTTTTCTTCTAGTAGATTAACTACATAGATAGAAACATAGATACAGTTGAAGTCGGACGTTTACATACACCTTAGCCAAATACATTTCAATTCAGTTTTTCACAATTCCTGACATTTAATCCTAGTAAAAATTCCCTGTCTTAGGTCATTTAGGATCACCACTTTATTTTAAGAATTTGAAATGTCAGAATAATAGTAGAGAAAATGATTTATTTGAGCTTTTATTTATTTCATCATATTCCCAGTGGGTCAGAAGTTTGCATACACTCAATTAGTATTTGGTAGCATTGCCTTTAAATTGTTTAACTTGGGTCAAATGTATCGGGTAGCCTTCCACAAGCTTCCCACAATAAGTTGGGTAAATTTTGGCCCATTCCCCCTGACAGAGCTGGTGTAACTGAGTCAGGTTTATAGGCCTCCTTGCTCGCACACGCTTTTTCAGTTCTGCCCACAAATTTTCTATAGGATTGATTTTTCCACAACTTTGGAAGTATGCTTGGGGTCATTGTCCATTTGGAAGACCCATTTGTGACCAAGCTTTAACTTCCTGACTGATGTCTTGAGATGTTGCTTCAATATATCCACATAATTTTCCTTCCTCATGATGCCATATATTTTGTGAAGTGCACCAGTCCCTCCTGCAGCAAAGCACCCCCACAGCATGATGCTGCCACCCCCGTGTTTCACGGTTGGGATGGTGTTCTTCGGCTTGCAATTTCCCCCTTTTTCCTCCAAACATAACGATGGTCATTATGGCCAAACAGTTCTATTTTTGTTTAATCAGACCAGAGGACATTTCTCCAAAAAGTACGATCTTTGTCCCCATGTGCAGTTGCAAACCGTAGTCTGGCTTTTCTATGGCGGTTTTGGAGCAGTGGCTTCTTCCTTGCTGAGCGGCCTTTCAGGTTATGTCGATATAGGACTCGTTTTACTGTGGATATAGATACTTTTGTACCTGTTTCCTTCAGCATCTTCACAAGGTCCTTTGCTGTTGTTCTGGGATTGATTTGCACTTTTCGCACCAAAGTACGTTCATCTCTAGGAGACAGAACGCGTCTCCTTCCTGAGTGGTATGACGGCTGCGGGGATCCCATGGTGTTTATACTTACGTACTGTTGTTTGTACAGATGAACGTGGTACCTTCAGGCGTTTGGAAATTGCTCCCAAGGATGAACCAGACTTGTGGAGGTCTACACATTTTTTTCTGAGGTCTTGGCTGATTTCTTTTGATTTTCCCATGATGTCAAGCAAAGAGGCACTGAGTCTGAAGGTAGGCCTTGAAATACATCCACAGGTACACCTCCAATTGACCCAAATGATGTCAATTAGCCTATCAGAAGCTTCTAAAGCCATGACATCATTTTCTGGAATTTTCAAAAAATTACTTGTGTCATGCACAAGGTAGATGTCCTAACCGACTTGCCAAAACTATAGTTTGTTAACAAGACATTTGTGGAGTGGTTGAAAAACGAGTTTTAATGACTCCAACCTAAGTGTATGTAAACTTCCGACTTCAACTGTATGTATATACACTGCTCAAAAAAATTAAGGGAACACTAAAATAACACATCCTAGATCTGAATGAATGAAATAATCTTATTAAATACTTTTTTCTTTACATAGTTGAATGTGCTGACAACAAAATCACACAAAAATTATCAATGGAAATCAAATTTATCAACCCATGGAGGTCTGGATTTGGAGTCACCCTCAAAATTAAAGTGGAAAACCACACTACAGGATGATCCAACTTTGATGTAATGTCCTTAAAACAAGTCAAAATGAGGCTCAGTAGTGTGTGTGGCCTCCACGTGCCTGTATGATCTCCCTACAACGCCTGGGCATGCTCCTGATGAGGTGGCGGATGGTCTCCTGAGGGATCTCCTCCCAGACCTGGACTAAAGCATCCGGCAACTCCTGGACAGTCTGTGGTGCAACGTGGCGTTGGTGGATGGCGCGAGACATGATGTCCCAGATGTGCTCAATTGGATTCAGGTCTGGGGAACGGGCGGGCCAGTCCATAGCATCAATGCCTTCCTCTTGCAAGAACTGCTGACACACTCCAGCCACATGAGGTCTAGCATTGTCTTGCATTAGGAGGAACCCAGGGCCAACCGCACCAGCATATGGTCTCACAAGGGGTCTGAGGATCTCATCTCGGTATCTAATGGCAGTCAGGCTACCTCTGGCGAGCACATGGAGGGCTGTGCGGCCCCCCAAATAAATGCCACCCCACACCATGACTGACCCACCGCCAAACCGGTCATGCTGGAGGATGTTGCAGGCAGCAGAACGTTCTCCACGGCGTCTATAGACTCTGTCATGTCTGTCACGTGCTCAGTGTAAACCTGCTTTCATCTGTGAAGAGCACAGGGCGCCAGTGGCGAATTTGCCAATCTTGGTGTTCTCTGGCAAATGCCAAACGTCCTGCACGGTGTTGGGCTGTAAGCACAACCCCCACCTGT